AAGGACAAAGTCAAGGTCACCAGTCCATGTATATAGCTGTGGTTATAGTAACACCTAATACAGCATAGCCAACACGCACACTGAGCCTACACATAATAACAATTCATAATGACATATATGATATAAAAATATAATGACATAATGAATAACATTTATAGATATATAAAACATATGTTATAACATAATGTATAATAATAATTATTATTATATACAGCTGTGTAACACCGCGTACCGACAGCTTCCAGCACGGCTCCTGTTTTGATGGGAACAGGGGGCGCCACTGTCTCGTCGTCCTCGTCGTTAGAGAATTCGTCGTCGGACCAGACATCGTCCGTATCCTGGGAACAGAGAGTCGCCTAGACGACAAAACATAGACGATTGATAGACGAATGCATAATAGATGGAGATATCTATGGTGTGTATTCTGTTTCATAATTCGATTCAAATTCATTCGATGCGTGCAATCGAATGATTCGATGCATCATTCGATGCGTGAATCGAATGCATTCGATGCGTGAATCGAATGATTCGATGCATCTTTGATCACGGATCGAATCATTCGATTCACGCATCGAATCATTCGCATTCAACGCATCGAATCATTCGATTCACGCATCGAATCATTCGATGCATCATTCGATGCGTGGAATCGAATGTTCGATCGCGTGAATCGAATGATGCATCGAATCATTCGATTCACGCATCGAATCATTCGATTCACGCATCGAATGCATTCGATTCACGCATCGAATCATTCGATGCATCATTCGGAGACGTGAATCGAATCATTCGATTCACGCATCGAATCATTCGATTCACGCATCGAATCATTTGATTCACGGCATCGAATGCATTCGATTCACGCCATCGAATGCATTCGATGCTCATTCGATGCGTGAATCGAATCATTCGATGCGTGAATCGAATCATTCGATGCGTGAATCGAATGATGCATCGATGCATTCGATTGCGGCATCGAATCATCGGATTGCACGCATCGTTTGCGTGCTGCGAATGAATCTCGAATGATTCGATGCGTGAATCGAATGATTCGATGCGTGAATAAATATATGGCATAATCGATGTTATATTGTGTAAATCGAATGTTTATGTGATAAATCGAATGTTATATGCGATAAAATCAACCATAAAACAAAAATCGAATTATGAACAAACAAACATGCCATAGATATAGCCTAGACACACAGTACAGCTAGCAGCAGGGCAGTAGCAGCAGCAGGGAAGCAGTAGCAGCAGCAGTAGTAGTAGTCAGTAGCCGCGAGTAGTAGCACAGCAGTAGTAGTAGTAGCAGCAGTAGAGCAGTAGCAGCAGCCGTAGGAAGAAGAAGAAGAAGAAAGAAGAAGAGAGAAGAAGAAGAAGAAGAAGAAGAAGAAAGAAGAGAAGAGAACGCCAGGCAGCAGTAGTAGTAGCAGCAGCAGCAGCAGCAGGCAGCAGCAGCAGCACGCAGCAGCAGCAGCAGCGCAGCAGCCAGTCAGCAGTAGCAGCAACACATAATGTAAGGAGGACAGACGACGTGACGATGTATATGACTACCTCTTATATAGATTAACTCTACCTTAAACCTTACGCTGTTGTTATTATAGTCTTCATCTGCCCTTACTCTGCCCTTACCCTGTTATCACCCTATACTTACCATGCTAATACCCTGCTACCACCCCTGTCCTTGCCCTTACCTGTCTTTACCCAGCCTACCTTGCCCAATTATCTTGCCCTTAACGGCTGTGCGCTTACCTTGCCCTTACACCTGTTGCTTACCCAGCGCCCTTACGCTTGCCCTTACGCCTTGTGCTTAGCCCACTGCCCTTACCCTGTCCTTACCTTGCCCTTACCTTGCCCTTACCCTGCCCTTACCCTGCCCTTACCTTGCCCTTACCCTGTGCTTACCCGGCTCTTCCTCACAGATGTATATCTCGTGCGGCCATCTTGCCTCGCGTGCGGGGTCACCGGGAGGTCAGCGATGCACATGTATCCGTCAGCAGCGTCATCATCGTCGCCGTCAGCTCGCGTCCGACTCGCGCGTTTCCGCCGCGCTGCCGGCAGGGGTGTGACGTCATCACCGCCGCCATGCGTCGTGACGTCACCCAGCGCGCTTGCACGCCTGCCGCCGCCGGACGCGGCCTGTTCTTCTGGAGCCCCATCTACGGACGGCAGTCTCGATCCGTGTTTGTGAACGACGGCGTACTCCGGATCTCTCCCCACGGGACTCCGCGGCCCCATGGCGCCACCTGCCGACGACCTCTTGTCGCCCCAGCCGCTCCACCCGTCCGCTCTGGCGGCGCCCCCTGGCGACCAGAGATCGGCGGGTGGAATCGGTGGCGGCGACGCGATGTTTGAAGGTCTCAGCGGAACAGGAGGTCGCGTCCTCCCTCCGCCGACCTTGACCTCTCGTTGACCTCGATGCTGCCGAGGAGGAGGAAGAGGAGTGGATTGCGGCGACGTCGACTTCTCCTGTCCGTGCTGCCTCCTGGTGGGGGACGGTGGCGTCGCGGTTGCCATGCCGACGAGGTCGTCCAGCCGCTGAATGACGTCAGCAGCGCGGCGGACGATGCCGTCACGTGACTCCCCGCCAGGGGGCGTGCCGACGTCCGACGTCCGCGTCGGCGCGTCGCCGCGTTCCTGCTGGCAGCGCCCTCTATCTGTGGCGACGTCGGCGATTGGCGACGAACGCACGTTCTCGTATTCGCACTCGCAGGGCCCCGGCGGGGATGTCGAGCTGCGAGACGGCCACACGGGGGCGCCACCACCGTCCGGCAGCGCCACCTGGGGGGTGACGGGCAGCGACCAGTTTTCGTAGCTGTTAGTCTCCATGAGTGCGAGATGTGTGCGGAACAGTGCTGCCACGGCGCGGTGAGCGGCCACGTACTGATCCTACACGTGAATAGAGAGAGAGAGAGTTAGGGGAGAGTTAGGGGGGGAGAGAGAGAGAGAGAGAGAGAGTTAGGGGGGAGAGAGAGAGAGTTAGGGGAGAGAGAGAGAGTTATGGGAGAGAGAGAGAGAGGGAGAGAGTTAGGGGGGAGAGAGAGAGAGTTAGGGGAGAGAGAGAGAGTTATGGGAGAGAGAGAGAGAGGGAGAGAGTTAGGGGGGAGAGAGAGAGAGTTAGGGGAGAGAGAGAGAGTTATGGGAGAGAGAGAGAGAGGGAGAGAGGAGCAGAGAGAGAAAGCAGAGAAGAAAGAGACAGTGAGAGATTTCCTTCCCTCTACCCACTTGCTGTGTCTACACGCCCACCACCCACCTCACCTTGCCTCGGTCATCATTGACATTCTGTATTCCGCATGCGCAGCCTATGACGTCCATTTACAGCCTGAATCGCTCACTTTCAGCTTCTGAACAACATATAAACGCCTACAGTAACGCGTTAGGTACCCACGCACAAGTATATTATACATAGTCACACATATATATATATATACATGCACATATATACACATATATATATATATATATCTACATATATGCAGTATGGGTAGAGCCACGAGCGTCAGCATGTGACCACAAACCGGAGGTAGCCATCTAGCCAGACAGGATACCACGTAAATATACTACACTCGGCACGCACGCATGCACGCACGCACACACACACACCACACACACACACAACATGACACACACACCACACACACACACCACACACACTCACACACGCCACCACACGCATGCACGCACACACACACACACACACACACACACACACACACACACACACACTCACACACACACACACACACACACACACACACACACACACTCACACACACTCACACACACTCACACACACACCACACACCACACACACACACCCACACACACACACACACACACACACAAACACACACACAAACAACACACTCACACACACTCACACACACTCACACACACACCACAGCACACATACACACACACACATCACACACACAGCACGCACGCAACACACACATAGTCGGATGTGAGTGTACAATTGCGTAGGCAGGGAGTGAAACGCGAAACATTTCCATAACTATATGCGGTTTTACGTGTGTATAACTGATACTATGTACATACCCCAGTCTTTAACAGCACCCAGCATGTGAAACCACACAGAATGTACCCGTGCGACCGCAACCAGCGCTGAAATAGCAAATACACCACACGGTATAGTAGCATCAAGCATATAATTATATCACACGGCATAGTATAACAACAGTATATATATCACACGGTATAGTATAAACAACAGTATATTATATCACACGGTATAAGTATAAAACAAATATATACATCACACGTATAGTATACAACAAATATATACATCACACGGTATAGTTATAACAAACAAATATATACATCACACGGTATAGCATATAACAACAAATATATACAATCACACGGTATAGTATTAAACACAAGCATATATATCACACGGTATAGTATAACAACAAATATATACATCACACGGTATAGTATAACAACAAATATATACATCACACGGTATAGTATAACAACAAATATATACATCACACGGTATAGTATAACAACAAGTATATATATCACACGTATAGTATAACAACAAATATATACATACCACACGACTAACGCACAATCTTAAGGATCATAGAAAATCAAAGCGCACATCATGAATCTTCTATCGCACTATTCTTGCATCCCTATAAGTTTCACAGCACTACATATCTACATAATACAGCTATAGCTAGGTCCCCACGCTAACTGACGTGTCTCTCTACTGTGCTGGTGTTACTCAGCTATAAGCTCCGGTTGTAAGTCCAGTGAAGGGCTGGGTCCCTCCCCAGGTGTCAAGTGTAGAGGCAACAACTTTCTAGTGGGTTTATATAGGAGAGAGAACACGCCTGTTTGCAGTAACATACAGGCGAGCGACAGCAGTAACGGTACATAGCGCCCCGTAGTATAATATATCATAATATAGGGGTTTGTGTGGAAACAATGGTCCCGTTGTTTGCCCGCCACAAATAGCAGAGAACATACACAAACAAATCACTCACGCACGCACGCACGCACGCACCCACGCACGTAAACTCGCACAGACAAGTACGCACGCACGCAATGTTTCTTCGGCAAGGCGGATTACGTTCATATAGCGTGTGTTTCACGTATATTCAGATACTCCGATATAAACCTAACATTCCTCCGCCCACACATACACATACATCATACACACACACACACACACACACACACACACACACACACACACACACACCACACAACACACACCACAACACACACACACACGACGAATATTTACTGTCCAAAGTGCTGAGGTTTATAAGGCGGGGCACTGAGGAACATTGCGCGCTCACGTACGCGGCAAAGTAGCTTTAGTTTGCTATAGAGCGCAGAGCGATAACTGATATGTCACATCGCCTAGCATAAGATAAGATATTATAAGTGCGATACGATATGATGAGATAGTAGGACCATGGCATCTTATGATTTGTCACGGAGCATTACGTAATGCACGCACGCCACACAACACGCACACGCCACGCGCGCCGCATACACAATTGTACAGTGACACCACACACATACGCACACACACGCACACGCACGCGCCGCACGCATACAATCACACGCACACGCACGCGCCACGCACACACACACGCACACGCACGCACGCACGCATACACACGCACACACACACACACACACGCGCACGCACACACACGCACACGCACGCGCGCACGCACACACACGCACACGCACGCGCGCCACGCATACACATACACATGCTACGACACACACCACACACACGCAGCACGGCAAAACGCGCGCCACGCACACACACGCACACGCACACACACACGCACACGCACGCGCGCCGCACACACGCACACGCACGCTGCGCACGATACACATACACATGTACGGCACACACAACATACCCACACCACACGCCACACGCACGCACGCACGCACACACACCACGCACACGCACGCGCTCACGCACACGCACACGCACACGCCACGCGCGCACGCCGAATACACCATGTCAGTGCACACACACACATTACGCCACCACACGACGCACACGCACGCGCGCACCGATACACATACACAGGTACGACACACACACATACCCACACACACGCACACCGCACGCACGCACCGGACGCACACACACACGACACGCACGCGCTCACGCACACACACCACACGCCACCGCGCAGCATACACATGTACAGTGACACACACACACTTACCCAACACACACGACACGCACGCAGCACGCACACACACACGCACACGCCACCGCGCTCACGCACACACACGCGACACGCACGCGCCGCAACAGCATACACATGTACAGGACACACACACACATACGCCACACACACGCACACGCACGGCCGCGCCACGCATTTACAGATATTACCAGTTGACACACACACACATACGCACACACACGCCACACACGCGCGCACACATACCATGAACGACACACACACCATCACGCACACCGCACACGCACGCGGCACGCATACACATGTACGACACAACACACATACGCACACACACGCACCGCACGCGCGCACGCATTACACATGTACAGGGACACACACACACATACGCCCAGACACGCGCACGCGCACGCACACACACGCACGCACGCACGCACGCACACACTCACTCACCTGCAGTGAACAACGATGGGCCGCCTTCCATGCGGCTGTTCTTCTTGTATGAGCTTCACCATGGCAACGAGTGACTCAGAGTTGTCGGGAATACCATGGTCCGGCCAGGCGATGTAGTTAAACTGATTCACTCGCCGCTGCACGTCGCCACGTGTCACCACAGGTGGCGCGCACCACCATGTCACACGCTGAGAGGCATCTCCCTCCACTAGAACACACCGGCAGAGGGCGCTGTATGTTAGATTTTGTCGCTGGCGATTTTTTGGTCTCGTATGTACGTGCGTGTGTCGTCTGAGGGAAAAAGTTGGAAATCGACGTCAATTTGCAATTTATACCTAGATTTTATTATTATTATTTTTATTATTATTATTATTATTATTATTATTATTGATTATATCGAGCGCAAGGTCTTTACAAGATCCCTTACCATGGATAAACCAGACTCGTCTCGGCAGGTATTTGATCTTTTCTTCAAGTTCCGGCCAATATTTCTCACATTTTTTCTGCAAAAAGCAATATTTACACTTTAGAGATCAAATGAACGATGCCCCTTTACAGTCGCGCAAAACTATGTCTATATAATTATTATAATAGTACTCTTATAGCTTCCAGTTTATTATGCTGATATATGTGGACACACGCCGGGCAGCACCCGCCACCCTCACGACACAGCGAACGAAACACACACCACTCACACACACACACACACACGCTGGCCGGCGCACGCACACTACGCCACTCACGACACACTCACACACACACGCGCGGCGCACGCCACTGTACCACTCACGACACACTCACACACTACACGCGGTGCGCACGCACGTAACGCACTCACGACACACTCACACCACACACACGCGGTGCGCCACGCACGCTACGCACTCACACACACTCACCACACACACACGCGGACGCACCGTACGCACTCACGAACACTCACACACACACACACACTCACACGCACCGGCTGCCGCGGCACGTACACACACACACACACAACACACCACACCACACACACACGCTGGGCGCACGCACGTACGCAACTCCCACGCCGCACACACACGCACGCCACGGTACGCACTCACGACACCAACTCACACACACACACACACACAACGCACCGCGCGCGCGCGCACTACATACACATACAGCACCCACACACACACACACACACCACGGCACGCGGCGCCGCGCGCACGCTACATAGACATACACACCCACACAGCACACACACACACACGCACTCAGCGCGCTGCGCGCACGTACATGACATACACACCCACAACACACACACACACACGCCACGCGCCGCGGCGCGCACGTACTAGAAATACACATACACAGCACACACACACACACACACACACACCCACACACAGCGCACACACACAGCACACACACACACACACACACACACACACCACACACGCATGCCCTTCCAGCCTCCACCAGCCGACACACCTGACGTCATCGGTCGGCTGACGTCATTCTCCCAGACCATGCGCCACATGTCAGTCACAGACTGCTGGTTCGGACCTTGTGTGCAATGTACGGCGTACCAACTCTCCACTCCCTCGAGAACAAACAAAACAGCAAGACGAATCGCGTAGTAGTAGTAGTAGTATTAGTAGTAAAGCAGCAGCAGCCCAGCAGACAGTCGAGTAGCAGCAGCACAAACAGCAGCACACAGTATGTCGGAGTAGTAGCAGCAGCAAGCAGCAGCAGCAGCTGCAGCAGCAGCAGCTAGCACCACGAGCCAGCAAGCAGCAGCAAGTAGCAGCAGCGTACAGCCAGCAGCAGCAGCAGCAGCAGCTAGCAGCAGCAGCGCCAGCAGCAGCAGTAGCAGCAGTAGTAGCAGCAGCAGCAGCAGCGAACATCAAGCAAGATATCATAAAGCATCACATGAACGACATAGCAACGATATATTGTTTTAGATAGTGGTAGCTAGGGTATAGCACATGTGTATTGTTGTAGATAGTGTTAGCTAGGGTATAGCAATTGTGTATTGTTGTAGACAGTGTTAGCTAGGGTATAGCAATTGTGTATTGTTGTAGATAGTGTTAGTTAGGGTATAGCAATTGTGTATTGTTGTAGATAGTGGTAGCGATGGTATAGCACATGTGTATTCTTGTAGACAGTGTTAGCTAGGACGGTATATGGTTGTAGTCACTAGGAGATAGTAATTTTGTATAGCAGTAATGTTGTATAGTAATGTTGTATAGTAATGTTGTATAGCAGTAATGTTGTATAGCAGTAATGTTGTATAGTAATTGTAATGATCGTATTTCCACCCGTGTATACGTGTACGCTCGGGTGTGTTGGTGTGTGTGTGTGTGATCGTGTGTGTGGGTGACGTATAATGTATACCATGCGATGTTCTAACCCAAAGGTCCTGCTTGGCGCGGGCACCCTTGTGAGGTACCCTGAGGTCATAACAAAGTAGACAGACACGGAAGTATAACGTACAAACAAATGTTTATTTAATTCTTAGACAAACTTACAGAGACAAGTTATTAGTTACATACTTAATGCAAGATCTCTAAAAGGAGTTTACACACGCAAATACATTTACTAGTCTTAAAAAGGAGTTTTAAGACATACGTTTAAGATGCATACTGTAACACGAATACGGTAAGACTTATTTATACATACATACCAGAGAGCGAGAGCGAGAGACAGAGAGAGAGAGACTCCGAGAGACTCCTCTCCCACTCCTCCTCTCTGCTCCTCTGTTAGAAAACGTCTCTATTTAAGCAAGTCTGGATGTGTCAAGTGATCTACCTAGTGCTACGTTTTCCAGGTTAATGTCTATATGCAACAAGGCCACTGTCCTCTTTTTTAATGATAGGGGGAGAGTTTCTTTTGTTTACTCGAAATGTCGTACTTGGCAGTACTCGTATAAAACTGCCTATAACGACGCGAGTGACCAAAGTGCCTGAAGCGTGTCCCTGTGTCGGATCTTAGCCTCGATATAGACGTGGTCAAGAACCGTGCCTGTCCTGCGGTGTCGCTCTATATCGTAATGATTTTAGCTTCATTACATAATGTTGTATAGTAATGTTGTATAGTAATGTTGTATAGCAGTAATGTTGTATAGTAATGTTGTATAGTAATGTTGTATAGTCATGTTTGTATAGTAATGTTGTATAGTAATGTTGTATAGCAGTAATGTTGTATAGTAATGTTGTATAGTAATGTTGTATAGTAATGTTGTATAGTAATGTTGTATAGTAATGTTGTATAGTAATGTTGTATAGTAATGTTGTATAGTAATTTGTACTAGTAATGTTGGTATAAGTAATGTTGTATGAGTAATAGTTGTGTATAGTAAGAGATTGCAGTGAAATATAACGTAATGCTGTATAATATAAACTTATGACAAATAAGCTCAATTATTGTCTACAATAGACGATTAGAGAATTATTATTCCAGTCGCTCGTGTGGCGTTGCATGGCGTGCGTGCGTGGGTTAAAAATCTAATCTACATTGCGTTCACATTCGCTCGCAGGCATCGCGCCAGATCCCAGCTATGCTAATGTATGGGCAAATGGCGCATGGCGAACGTCGGTCCCTTGACTGGCCAAGATAAATATTTCTTCGCCGTTCTTATACGTTCAAACTGGAGCGGCAGGCGTAAATTTAAAATTTCCCGACTCGAGTTCCGGAGCCCACCATAGATAGTGTTTTGGTAATAATTTGGGCTCTATATATAGGTTGGGTTATAGTTAGTGTTAGGTGTTCGAGTACGGTTAGGGAGATGAGGGGTGAGGGTGAGGGTTAGGGTTTAGGTTGAGGCGGTTAGAATAGGCGGTCTCAATTTACATTGTTGCTGTCGAGGAAGTCGAAGTGAATGGAGTGCGGCTGATTGGCTGTGGTCGCGGAACCTCCGTGAACTCCAAAGTGGGAAAAAAATTTTGGCAGCCGGGCAGGCCTGAACAGCACGCGGCATGGTAACATGATTATCTTCTATACCTGTATTAGTGGCATTGACTGTAGTCAGTACTTCTCGCAATGCTCCTTGATGCTTCTAAAAACAACTCTGCTGATGATCGTGCTGCGATAAAAACATTAATATATTATATATATATGATTTACGTGTTAAATAGCTGTGGACTAAGGAAAGGCTTGCGTGCTGTATCAAGCCTGCGGATTTTATTTGTAAATCTCTCTATTTTTACTAGTTGCCTGGTCGAGCCATATATTATATATATATATAAATCAAGAGTTTCGATAATAGAGACATACTCTGTTATGCACTCTGATATATAATATATATAGTATTATTATATATATATACAGCATAGGCCTATATGCTATACTATATATATCTGATAATATATCAATATATAATGATGCCTCGACAGGCCCTATAAAAATAGCGAGAGATTACGAATTAAATCCGCAGTTGATACAGCCACGCAAGCCTTTCTTACTGCGCACTGCTATATAATAAGTCGTAAATCATGACCCGCCACCCCATCTCACCCCACCGCAAATAATCTCCCGCCCTTTCCCTACCCAAAGAACTCTTACGTGCCTTACTATGTGGTGTGGTGTGTGTGTGTGTGTGTGTGTGTGTGTGTGTGTGTGTTGTGTGTGTGTGTGTTGTGTGGCAGCAGCGGCGCGCCGCGCGCGTGGTGTGTGTGTGTGTGTGGTGTGTGTGTGTGTTGTGTGTGTGTGTGTGATGTGTGTGCTTTCCCACGTACAACTACACGCAAGCTTGCGTATATTTTCTCAGAGTAAAGAAAGTCGCAGCTGCTTGCTGTTGTTGCTGCTGTTGTTGTAACAGCTTCCCCCGTGATGTGTCATCCAAGACGCACTTAGTCAGAGCGCGGGGGGAGGGGGAGCCCGGGAGGCGGGGAGGTCAACGCTCCAGGCTTTTATGTCGTCCGCGCGGTGTGTGTGTGTGTATGTGTGGGGGGGGGAGCTGGCAGGATATGCTCACACATGCATACACGTGTGACTCGATGGTTAGTACAAGGAAGCGGGAAGGTTGACTTATCACAGACGATAGCTCAGGGCTGTACGGAGAAGAGAGTCTAGCTATAGATTATGTAGACATCTGTGGGGGGAGTATGTCGGAATCAAGTTAGTCTTAACGTTAACTTTTCTCTTAGAGAAACGTCGTACGAGGAAGAACAATTTACGAGGATGAACAATTCCCCCAAATTTATTAAAACACGAAATTCTGTCAACAGTCTACAAGTTAAGGCACTCATTTTCTCGCTCTGGTTTTACAAGAGACAGCAGTTAGCAGTTCATTGTTTTGTTTGTTGATAAACTCAAATCAGTAACACCGTAATAAGCACGTGTACTGCATGACATCACATATCAATTTTCCTGTACTGTACGCTAGATATCATAAGCTGTTAATTGGTTAATATAATTATCAGTAATTTCTGCTCATGCACGCCTAAAGTAGGAGACAAAGTAGACGAGCAAAGCTAGCAATGACTGCTGTAACGCTGTAATGACTGCTGTAATGACTGCTGTAACGCTCCTAACTGCTGGTGTTCTAAACCGTAAAGATATTAATATTAATACATCGTATCATTGTCTATTATAATGTATCATTGTGTATTATAATGTATTATTGTGTATTATTGTGTATTAATTGTTATGTATTATTGTGTATTATAATGTATCATATGTATCATTGTGTATTATTGTGTATTATTGTGTATTAATTGTTATGTATTATTGTGTATCATTTTGTGTTATTGTGTATTAATTGTTTTGTATTATTGTGTATTGTTGTGTATTACTGTGTATTATTGATCTCTGTGCTTCTCTCTACACCACGTCTGTATCGTATATGTCCTATCAGGGAATGAACAAACACACGTTGATTATCTATATCTAGCACAGTTACATTATTTAACGTATTTATATACACTACGATAGCTTTGACTGAAGGTCATTTCCTAGAAACAGATTGTACTAGCTTACTTCTACTATACATCAGTGTCGGGGCAAGGAGTGTCATATTAATTTACACTCAACATACAGACTAGCTGTAAAGCGTTCTCAGCCCTGGCCATTGTTCATTTTACTACTATATAATTATTTATCTATTGCTGTATACTTTTTTCTTTATATTACAACGTAAATATTCCTTTTTTTTTTTCTCGCGTTGTT